CAATTAACTCATAAACAATAAATAATTATAAATTAACTTTATAACAAATCACTGTCGTCTGTCACGAAGCCCGTGGTTTGAACGATGATTTATTCCTAAATAATTGAAATTACCTATTAAATTTCAGTTTAATATTTTTTTTTAAATTTAATCTTTTAATAACTTTTTTGACAAGTTCGAAAATTAGTACGAATGCCAAATGTAGTAATTAGAATGATTCACATTTGCAGGATATCGACGTGAAAACCGAACTGGAAGAAAACGAGTCGGAATCACCGAATACCAGTGATCTACAATTGAATACCGAAGACGTCGCCGCCATAGAGAAGAGTCTACCGATTCTGGACGAACAAGTCAGCAGCGACGCAATAGACGAAGGAATTATTATTTTACAAGGTTCGGAATATGAACAAGAAACCAATAACAACGATTGTACATTTTACAAACAAAATTTAGCCAAACAAGCACTAGCCGGAGTGTTCTAGGGTATCTATTATAGGTACCTGTTTAAAAACTGTTTAATTATTTTTATTTATGTTTTAATTTTATGTTTATAACGCACTTATGCACCAACAAGACTGGTTCACGAGACAAGCGTCTGATTTTTAATTATGTTTAAGATGCAATATTATTATTTTATATTTTTTCTCTGTTATTAATTTATTATATTTAAAATATTAAATTATTATATCACCAAAAAACTTCAATTATAAATACCTACCKATATATATGTAATATGTAAAACTGGGTAATACACCTACTGTATTAGTCAAAAACTGTAGTTTGTTGTTTATTTTAATTTATAATTAATATATATTATAGTTTTATTTTTTGTAAACATTTATATTTACTATCATTATTATTATTTAAATAAATCAAAAACGTGTTGAATTAATTATCTATTGTTTATTATTATCATACAAATTGTATGATACAATAACAATGGAAAATTACGAAAGTACATTTAAATACTTTTTCGTCGATTGTACCTATACTTGTTGTCTTTTAACAAAAATGTTATTTCAGAATTTTGAGTGGAATATAAAATAATTTACCAATAAGGTAATAAACTAATAACGAACCATAATCATTAAATATAAACACTGTCGTGTAGCGGTGAATCCTTACAAGTTATTAGTTTGAATGTTTTYATCGGTAATAAGGTAATATTATAATATTATTTTATAACCAAAAGATCACAAAGGGTAACTTTATATAGAATTTAAAAATAAGAATTACAATTATTGTCTGTAGTAACTGGCATTCTATTTCACATCGCTCGTCTTCGCAGAGTTAAACGCGTCAATGGCATGTGTACCTAACTAGTGTTAAGTCTAAGTAAAAKTATCACATTGTTACTAACACATTTAAATATTAATATGAATGTGTATATATTGTACATACTTTGGAAATTCTGGTAAAGACTTATTTTTGAGAATTCTCTTATGAAAAAAGTCCCCAATAAAATATTATATCTAAAAGCTACTTTTTTACGTTTACCAATTCTAAATGTTAAATTTTCTATTATACTATCAGTAAGTTTGATGAACTTGTATGTTAGGAATACTTTATAATAATAATAAAAAAAAAGAAGCTACTTTTGAGTTAATTCAAATTTGCTGGTCCTATATACACGTGCTTAATTACCTATATTATGTTGGTAAACAGTAAAGTTAGATAGATAGCTATTTACCTTTGAAAATGTTAATTTCGGTTAATCGTGATTCGTGATGGTCATTTAGGCCAGTTGTCACTTGTCAGTTATAATAATTATATTAACCGTTGTAGTTATGGTTAAACTAGCTTATCCTCGTGTACTTTGTTGCCTGTTAAAAATACGATATGATATATATCTGTATGACTCGAGATTTGTGTTTAATTCGTCGTAGTTAAAGTGATCATAATATTTTATCGCATTTATTGCTTTGTAAAGGTGAAACATTTACAATACAATCATAGTAATAATTATTTTTTTTTTATAACTAATTTGTAAATGAAAAAACCGATATGGGTACCTAATTTACGTGCAATTTAAACGACTGGTGTCGTCTCCCGCGGTCAATCGTAGATACTCACAGTTATCAGTGCGGCGGAGTAGATAGAGCAAGTATCACCGCACTATCAATCAACGACACAGTAGTTCATTGATAAGATAACACGTCCTCAATTTGATGGTTATGTTATTATCGTTATTACACTGGCGACTTGCTTAACTGATTATTATTATTTTTCGAAAGTCCGAAGACACGTCGTCGGGTAATCGTTGCTGTTCGTCTTTCAACCGCTTGACAATATGGTGCTCGACTTGGACTTGTTCCGGACTGAAAAGGGTGGAAACCCGGACCAGATTCGTGAAAACCAAAAGAAACGTTTCAAAGATCCGAGTTTGGTGGACAAAGTTGTCGACGCCGACGGTAAATGGCGGCAGCTGCGTTTCAAGGCGGACAATCTAAACAAGTTGAAAAACCTGTGCAGCAAAACAATCGGTGAGAAGATCAAATCTAAGGAACCGCAGCCCAAAGATGGTGGCGACGTCGCGTCCGATTTCGTTTTGGACACCATCACAGTCGACGTTTTGAAACCATTGTCAGTGGAACAAATCAAAAAAGTGCGCGTACTTATCGACAATGCGTTGACCCAAAACGACAAGGACCTAATTGACATAGAGAAAACGAGAAACGATTCGTTCAAAGAAATCAGTAATTTCTTGCACGAATCGGTTCCGATAAGCAACGACGAAGAAGAAAACGCTGTTGTCGCCACTGTTGGTGATTGTACGGTAAAGAAGAAGTACTCTCATATAGATCTAATTCACATGATCGACGGTGTAGATGCTGATGCAGGAGCCACTGTATCAGGCACCCGAGGATATTATCTCAAAGGTCCAGCTGTGTTTTTACAATCTGCACTTGTCCAAGAAGCTTTGCGCCGATGGGATGACAAAGGATACAAACCATTGTATACACCGTTTTTCATGCGAAAAGAAATTATGCAAGAAGTCGCTCAACTTGCTCAGTTTGATGAAGAACTATACAAGGTAATTGGCAAAGGTAGTGAAAAAGTTGGTGACCATAATTTGGATGAAAAATATTTGATTGCAACTTCTGAACAACCAATAGCAGCTCTTCATCGCGACCAATGGTTACCTGAAGCTAGTTTTCCTATTCGTTACCTTGGAGTATCGACATGTTTCCGACAAGAAGTTGGATCTCATGGAAGGGACACAAGAGGAATATTCAGAGTACATCAATTTGAAAAAGTTGAACAGTTTGTCTTAACGTCCCCATTTGATAATCAATCTTGGATTTTATTTGATGAAATGATTAATAATTCTAGACAGTTTTATGATGATTTAGGCATTGCTTACAGAGTTGTTAACATTGTATCTGGTGCATTGAATCATGCTGCAGCCAAGAAACTCGATTTGGAAGCGTGGTTCCCTGGATCTGGAGCATTCCGTGAATTGGTTTCTTGCAGTAATTGTTTAGATTATCAATCAAGAAGATTACTAGTACGATATGGTCAAACAAAAAAAATGAATGAAAAAGTTGATTATGTGCATATGTTAAATGCTACTGCATGTGCTACAACCAGAGTGATCTGTGCTATTTTGGAGACTTATCAGACCGAAACGGGAATCAAAGTGCCAGAAATATTGAAGAAATACTTGCCAACCAGATATCAAGATGAGATACCATTTGTGAAATCGGCACCCATTGATGAAGAAGATACGAAGAAGCAAAAAAAACAAAAAGAGGGAATGAAAAATAAAAAATAAAAATAAATATATTAATTGTTCAACCTTCCATGTATCAATAAAAATTTTTAATATTTAATTTTGCTTAAATTTGTAACAAGTTAAAATGCTATTATATCATAAATTATCCTATATTATAAGGTATATTACTGGTACAGTGGTACTAAGCAAAACATTATGTGAAGTTTAAAAATATATTATTTTATACTTTTTACATGCATGCAGTTCCATCAAATAATTTGTGCTTTTTACTACGTCTAAGAATTAAATAAGAGTTGAATTTAATTAAAAGGTCTTACACAAATAAAGTAATAAAACAATTTTAATTACTTATATCAGTATRAGATTTTTAAGATAATATTTCTTGTACTACAGACAATTAAAAATAAATACTTAAAAAATAATGTTGTATAAATTAATTAATCATGAACCTTTTTGTATCATTAAAATTTACTTTAGTCATAAGTGGTTCATAGGTTATATTTATTGTTTACAACTAATATTTCATAACATTTTTAATATTTAAGACAAGTTTATAATTTATTTTATCTGTGATTTTATAATATAATATTTTTAATATTAAAATAACTATATGACTTTAAAGTGGCCGGATCAAAAATAATCAACTCATTGGTTAGTGCTTACCATATAAAGTTCCTAAATAATATAATATATATATATAGATTATATCAGCTATTGATTGTAGTGATATATGGAGATTGAAAAGAACATTATAAAGTTATAGGTATAAATAGCCAAATAGATATTAGGTAGGTAATGAATAGTAAATATTATGTAGTATAAGTGTTATAGGTTAGGTAAAATATTATTATTTTTTTGTTGTTGTTATTATTTAAGCTTCAGCAACTGAGCCCATTAGGTGTAAGTTGATTGGTACTGTTGAGATTCTGGGACTGTAGGTTTTTGGGACACTTGTGTATTTGTACAGCAGAATTTCTAGTGGGTATCCGTAGGTTTCTGTCATGCCTGGATGGAAGATGGCGGCACGGCAGGAAAATGTTATAATAACTTACATATATATTATTATTTTTTACTTCTAAGTATGTACTATGTATAAAACTTATCATATTTTAGAAAACACTAATTTTAAAATGAACTCGCCCAAAATAAATTATCTTCCTAAATCAATAGATTTTTTTTTGAGAGTTGACATCTAACATATAATCTAGGTATTATACATTTGTGTAGTACAAAATTTGACAATCATAACTACCTAGTCCCTAGGTACGTACGAGTATTAGAACCAAATACAAAATCTTTCAGTTATAGAATCAATATGTTTTTCCTAAGTCCATGTGTTATGCAATTAAAAAATTGTGTCATTTTAATGTTGGCGGTGACTGCTAACTGCCCGGCTGGTAGAATAATACTATAATAGGTAGACTAATCGCATGCGGACATGTACATAATATATTTAGTTCACAAATTAGATCAATTATCAACATTTGAGACACTGATTTTTTTCAAATTTTGTTTTCTATTGAACTAGGTACCGTAACACTTGCATTATACCTATATCATCTTAAGAGGACGTTATACCAACATTTGTTGTCTCCGTCTTACAAATGCGTAACATACCAAATTTTACTGTCAGCAGTAAGCAGATCACGTTTAGCTTCGTAATTTTATGAATCATAGTAAATTAATCTCTCATAAATTAAAGCTAAAATTGTCATAGACTTTGTATTATATTTTTAATTTTAAAGT